GGTCTCTACCCAATATGTATCTTACATGAGGAGACAGTGCTGTACGCCTTACGAGACTGTCCATCTGCTCAGGAATCACTTGTATTTTCTAGATTTCAAGGTATGACCCTATCTAGTCAAACCACTACTCCTTTACTCTAGTTGGAAGCTGTGATATCTGTACTTGATATGGAAGGTTTTGCAGGGTTCATAGTTATGCTTTGGAATATCTATAACGACTATAATACAAATATACATGACGAAAAAATTCAATAGCCTTAGATCCTAGTTCTCAATGCTCGAACGTTGTACCGAGAGTTATTAGTAGCTAGGAAGCAAGCTCTAGGGCAGACGGTTCGTGTGTCACCCAGCCCGGTGCGCTTGATGCAAGGATTTGATTGATCGATGGCTTTCCCTCGCTCCATGTTATATCAATATTAACATTGATGGGGCCTTCGACCCTCAGCGACAGTTGACGACCATTGGCTTTATAGGCCGAGACTCTGCTTGGTTACCGTTGGGCAGTATGGCTTTATCGCCATCCATTTACACTGAAGCGGGTCTTGCAGAGATCCATGCTATGATTGTCGGTTTACAGTTTGGTCAAGAGAACAATTGGCACCAAGTTTTATTTGAGAATGATTCTACAATGGTGGCTAATAAATTGTCTTGTGATGTGGCAGATTTGTCCACCTAGGGTTTCACCCGAGTTAAGCTCGATCTATTCTACAGAATAATGTATCTTTCTCAGTTGTTTTTGTTCCACGTATTTGTAACCAGGTGACCCATGAGTAGCCTCCTAGGCACTTAGATCAGGCAATGCATTATTCTTTGAAACGATTTATTCCGAGGTTATTATCTCTACTGTAAACGTGACATTGCTCCTGGTTAATATATTTTGCTGACACTCTTTTCCCTTGTAGGCTTTAGAAGGGGATTTTAAAGAGGTCTTTTTTCCACACACACAAAAAAAAAATAGTTGGAGGACTCAACAAAACAACATCCTATAATTTAGGGATCATTTGTATATTTTATCCTAATAAATGTAATAATAATAATAATAATAATAACAATATTTTTATCATATAATTCATTGTATTAGAATTTAAAAAATAAATTAATCTGGATTAATGTAAGATTAAAAGTGAACATTAACTTACAAGATTAACAAACATTCTAAATTTCGTACAATATTTTTTTAGGGAAAATATAAATAATTCTACTGTATTAAATAATGAATTGTAACTTGGTATTTATAAGAAAAAAAGTAAAAAATAAATCAATAAATAAGACAAAAGCGGTTATCATAAAAATCTCAACCGCTTCTAATATTTATTTAGTTTAAAAATAAAATCTTATCTAAAAATAATATTTTTTTTTATTATTCAACAATAGAGTGTGAAAACATAACAGTAATTATTAAAGTATTATATCGAAAAAATAGACATATTTCTACCTAAATAATTTTAACTTTATAATCAAATTTATTTCACTGTTGTATATTTTATTAATTTATTTAAATATTAAAATTTTAGAATACTCTAGTATGATTACAAAGTAATATCTGTTTAGAATATTTTTTAACCAATTGATAACACACATATGAAAATCCTGTAGATAATTATTCAAACTCATGACTTCTATTTTCAAATAATTGTTTTAATTTTTTATTTTTTAAAATTATAAAATAATCATTAAAGAAATTTAAATAATGAAATGATCTTTTATATACTTTTATCTTTATAATTTTTGTTTCATATATGAAGGGGGGGGGATAATGAATTGGATCTCAAGTCTGCCACTCACAGACTAATTCAAAGGAATCTATTGTTATTATGGTATTCTTAAAGAAAGGGTAATTCTGACATTTCATTAAAACAACCTTGAAACCCTGGAAAGTCTCAGCATATATATATATATATATAAGGGTCCTCCATTCCTCCATGTTAACCAATAAAACAAATATTAGCCAAGTTGTTAAAATGGTTATAACTGCATAGGTGAGCTGGCATAACAAATAGATTCTTCTAATATGGAGATTGTAAAAATAATAAATACAGGCTTGTGAAATGAAAAATACAGAACATTTGTATTGATTAACAGAAAAGTTTTACAGTAAATCTAACATGGTGTGGACATCCAGCAGGAACAAAAACAGCGTCGTCTAGATTTTGCTCAACGTCCACGGTTCGACTCCTTACATCATGCAAACACATTTGAGGAACACAGTATTTACCAAGCTTCTATAGTAAATACTGAGATGCATTCCAATCCTCGTACTAACCGAATTCCTCCGGCAATCTCCTTTTGTGCTCCGCAGTTAGGTAAAATGACCGGTCATGAATTGGATGGATAACCTGTTCATGGACGCAAATCCATCAAGAACATCAGATGGGTTAGTTTAGTGTTGTTGCAGTTGAAAAGTGCTTTTTACAAGTGTTTTGAACGGCGAAAGCTCGATTAGTATTTGCTTTGATTGGACAGCCACAAGCAAAGGTTTACCTTTTCAACTGGTGAGCCGACCTCTCTTAGCAATCATAGCAGCCAGTCTTAGTGCAAAGACTAAATCGACATCCATATTCATAACTAATGGTAATCAAGATTCAAAGGAATTAGCATTCCTATTATTATTATTTTTTTTTTGATACAGAAAGCATCTAACTCTTTTAAAATATCAAATAAAAGCAAGCAACGCAGTTAACAACAAACTTCAGTCATGGATTCAGTGTGATTATCAATCCAGAAAGCTCACACATTATGTCTCTATACATTGTCTGGAAAATTAAACTCGTTCAAAACGATGATCATTCGAAAGAAGAAAAAAAACTGCTACTGAAACCACCTGCATTTACTCAGATTAACTCAAATTAATTGTCCACGAAACAGACAAGATATAATTCAAAAGAAACATTAAATTGAGCCAGGGTTTTCATCTAAATAAAAGCACCTTATTAAACAGAGGCGGCGTCAGGTTTTAGGCGGACTTCTCTTTTTATATATTTCCTTTAATATAAGCACCTTATTAAGTAAAATATTTAATCCCCAAAAAATAAAATATTTATGGTTTAATATACATATACATATTTGTTTTTGGTTTCTTTAATATGGTATCTACATTTTTCATTTACCATGACATTTAATTGTTATTTTTTCTTAACCATCAATGAGATTCTAAAACACGATGAAAATGTTGCATAATCACATGCTAGATTTATTAATTTCAGATATAATATTATAGAAATTATTAAATTTAAGTGCCGCATTTGATATAAAAAAAACATACATGATGCATTAACAAAACTAAATAAAGTATTAAATTGAGTTCAGAAAATGCATGTACTATATTATTAAGTATCAACTGATCTACCAAGCCGAGACGTTAAGTCAAGTTTAAAGCGGATTGGAATAAGAATATCATTCTTTTAATGAGCTTTTATAATATTCGATTCGAATTAGTCAATTGATAGGTTATATTCCAATAATTATATTTAGGATGGGCAAGGATCGAATTGGACTAGGGTTTTACCTATATGAACCTAGCTTGAATTTAATACTCTCCACCCATTACCCGATTTGATCCGAGTTTAAAGAGACTTCACACAACTAGAAATTCAACTTTATTTTAAAAATTTCAACTCTATATTATTTTTCGGATCATTGTAGGAGGAAAAATCAAAGGATGAAATTAACAATAGGAAATTACAAGATACTCACTAGGAAATGAGAAGATACTCACTAGGGAAAAAATAAATAGTTAATCTCAGTCGTTGATTTCTCAGTATAAAACTTTTAATTTTACACTAGAGGTATATATATATATAGTTTAGGATCCATTTACATACGGTGTAAAATTATTTTAGGTTTACACCTTTGTAGGATAATTAGATTGAGGAAAATCAAAGGATGAGATTAATTCCTTGTTTTTTTTCTAGTGAATATATTCTCATTTTATATTATTAATCTTACCCCTTGATTTCTATCATCCCATGGTCCTAAGAAGATGTAAAACTAAAAGTTTTACACAATCTAATTAGATCTTGCTCCTATATATATAATGTCATGAATTTATAAGCAAAAAAAAAAACAATGTGAGATCAATATAAAAATAATACATGATCAAGAGACGAGATTTAACATTATTCAATCTTGCTTATCTCCACAAATAAGAAAAAACAATAATTTACTCTAAGCGTATAGATCACAAATAGTACAAATATTAAAATACATAATATGTCATATATCCCAAAAGTCAATATGTATATCTAAAGTATCTCAAAAAAACTCTATCAATATTCTAATAAAATTATGCAATGTAAATCCCAAGAAAAATTACAGAGACTACAAAAGAATTACGTACTTTTAAAATAGTTCTCTCATAATTCTAAAAGGTAAGACCTATTTTATATTTATAGGAGAAACAAACTTGATCACCAAGAATCTTTATTAGATAAGAATTCTAAAGTAAATAAACTTAATACCAAGAAATATTCAACCAATATAATTACAAGAAAATTCAACTTAATTTTCAATTAGAATTTAAATAGATATCTAACACAAAATTTTTATTTTTATTTAATAAAATATTAATATAATTAGAAAAAATATAGAGGTGACATTTATTACAATTATCTCTAAATATATAAAGAATAATTACTTTATTATATCATATCATGTTGGGTCAAAAATTTCACTCTAAACTCAAATTTGATTCAATCTTATCCTTCAAAACACTCAAGTGAAGCCTGATTTTTATTTTTATTTTTTGTAAATGATCTTATAGGATTAAATTAGAATGAGAATTATCAGGTCCGAGTCTTATACTTATTCTTATACCCAATTTTATATTGTCTTGGATTATGGGTTCTAGATCTACAATAAGCACTTCCATAAAAATAAAAATCTTCAAGGGTTATTTAAACATTTTAATTACTTCACTGTATGAAATTTGAGATTTAATCCTTATACTCCAATCCAGCATAATTTGATCATTAATTTTTATATCGTCATTGGTTTTTATTTTATAGAAAATTGATTGTATTTAATAATGTAAAATATAAGATAAAAGAAATAATAATATAATTTGTGGCTAAGCTATCTTCCTGACATGAGGCTGATTAGAGCTTTGTTTTCATACAAGGAACCAACATCCCAGTCCTCGGTCGAAGATGACAGTATCGTAAGTGCGACGACAATCGATCTCATGCTCGGCCGCAGCTGAGGATTTTCCCGTGTGCAAGCTTGGGCGAGACTCACCATCTGCTACCGATGACAGTTTGTTAGAACCGAGATCGTTGAGAGCTTATAAGTATATACTAACATTTTGTTTACAGACCAGGACTCGAATTCACCTTGCAGATCGCATCGAAGGGGTAGCCATCGCCTAGCCTGGGGTCAACAAGTTTCTGCAGATCTTCTCTTGGATCGGGCTGATTAAGAACATCTTCGAACTGCGAATATTGGAGCAGATTCATTCAAACACGATTATACGAGTAGTGACTAATATAGTGCAAGACAAAGGAGGTAAAAGTTGAATACCAGTGCGACGAGTCCTGTTGATTCGGTTACTTCTTCGTTCGTCTTGACGACAGCTTCCCTGGCAGATATCAGTTCATATAGAACAACTCCGAAAGCGTATACATCGACCTTGGGGGAAACATCACCATATTGAGCATACCTTTAGACAATGCCATATTGAGGTAAATTAGTTACTTGTTCAACAAGCATGAAAATGTATATGCACCAGACCTGGACATGTATATTCTTACTCTGGTGGCATGTATCCGAAAGTACCGACGAGACGAGTTTGCAACGAATTGTTTCCAAATTCAGTTAGTTTTGTCAAACCGAAATCAGCCACCTATTCACCGATACATACACCAATCAGTTAGACCAAATGCGTCTCAATCTTAAATTAGTTTTCGACATGCATGTTATACGGAAATGTTCAATCACCTTTGCACGGAAGTTCTTGTCTATTAATATATTTGCTGATTTAATATCGCGATGAATGTAGACCGGGACAGTATGCTCGTGGATGTATTCGAGCCCTCTGGCCGAGTCCAAAGCAATTTGCACCCTCGCGGACCATGGCAATGGATCTCTATCTGCAAAACATATCACAGATATTATCAGATGCTTATTGTGCATAGATCACTCATGGAAGTACTTGCTTCTCACCTTGCCGGTGCAAATGTTGACTTAAATTACCGTTCTCGATGAACTCGTAGACTAAGAACAATGAACCTTCAACACAATATCCGATTAAGCGCACCTGCAATGAAATTTTAAGATTCGATCATGTCTACTTTCGTGATTATACCGTTCATGAATGCTTGAAATCATCATATGAGAAGAAACAAATAAGGGAATACCAAGTTCAAGTGATGAACACGTGTTAAAACCTTCAATTCGGCGAGAAATTCCTTTGACGCTTGCATATCCATTTTCTTGATTGCAGCTTTCTGCAATCATTAACAGGTCTAAACATGATTCGGTGCCCCACAATAATCCTCGTCTATATTAATATCGAGCGAGATGTTAGGAGAAGGTACCTCGCTTCGTAATTCTGCGAGGTAAACGGATCCAAACCCTCCTTGTCCGATCTTATTAGCAATGCTGAAGTCATTGGTTGCCTTGGCGAGCTCTTCGTATGAGAACTCCACAGATTTGTCCAATGTGATACCGGTGAGGCCTGGAGAAGCAAAAAGAGCAGTTGTTTCCGAACTCGTCTTCAGGGTACCTACATACACCATACCACATGATACAGAGGAGATTAATCCCAAGCTCGAACGTAGGTGTCTGAATTATGTGTCGAATGCCATATAAAGGCCGTAAAATTTCACCATGCCCGTGTTGAATGTAGTGGTCCGGTGATGCTTGTAGGTGTAACGATGCTTCAGCGATCTTCTTCCTTCTGTAAAGACAGGCATATATAAAAAGTCCCAACAACAGAGACCCAGCAACTCCGGCAATCGATATGCCGGCAATAACTCGACTCGAGATTCCTGGTTCAAAAGCCAAAAGTAAAGCTCAAGACAACAACATCAAGACATTGAGGGTTGAAAGCTATGTGTAGAGAATGATTAATCCTTACCAGTTGTGCTGCAATAAAAAACAAAGAACAATCCATGCAATTCATTAGTTAAACTGAGCAAAGTTGCCGTTAAAAATTCAATTTAAGGAAGTAAGAAAGATGGCATGATCATTACCTGGTCTTTAATGGTGGAAAATTTCCAGTTTGGTCTGCATAGTAAGAAAGGGTAAAAAAAGGCCATAACTTAAATTAATCCTTACATTCTCACATGGTAAATTACACATACTGTATTTTCAATTTTTTTTTTGTTGTATTATATGACTTATTTTATTAGTATACAGTGATAATATGTATTTTTTATTAAATTTTAATTATGATATATAATATTAAAAATAAAATAAATAAAATTCTTAGATTTTACTAATAAACCCTAATCCCAAATTACCACCCACCCTCACCCTCACCCTCCCACAAGGTCCTCCGAAATAAATGTATCATCGCGGAGATCAATTCCTTGGCGAAATTTTCCGAAGAATTCGACGATTTCAACTGCAAAGCCCTCGAAATTTTATGCTGATCCATCGCCCCTCGAAATTTCGTGATATCCTTCATTGATCTGATTGTCTGTCGTTGCCGGCCTTCGAGCAAAGCCCGCAAAGCCATTGCCCCTCGAATTTCTCTCTCGCGCTAGTAATGTAAGTCGACATGCATTCCTCGATTCACGACCGCCATTGAAATCCAACTGCAAAAGCTTAAATGCTGACCCTGTCTCACCCATTCCGACCCACCAATACATTTTCGTCCACCCTTCGGCCACCGGTACTACTCCATCCCTATGTGTATGCTGTATCATGCCTCACTTGAGCTGTCTTTGTGCATATTGATGAAGGGGTTCGATTGTTATGGCCGGTGTTGTTGGCGCTGCCTTGCTTGTGTTTGAGACTTTAGAATTTGTTCTTTTTAATTGACTGATTTTGGATTTTTTGTTGATTTGTTTTCATTGAGGTAAGCTCCTAACAATCTATGTTTCCTGTGACAATAATCCATCTTCGATTTCGTTCATGGTCGTCGTTGACAGTGGCTAAAGGGGAAAAGCTGTTGACGGTGGGGGTGGGGGTGGGAGTGGGAGGGTGATGGTGAGGGTGAGGGTGGGGTGGGTTGTAATTTGGGATCAGGGGACTTAATTATGATGTTTAAGAAATTATTTATTTATTTAATTCTGATGTATTCACATCATAATACCGATAGACAATTAACTGTACTGTTGGATAATTAATGATAGATTGACAAAAAAAAAATCTATAATATAAAATTTAATTAATAAGTTAAAAAAAATTAAAGATACAGTAAATAAAATAAAAAATAAATTAAAATTTAATGAGTAAACGCATAATTTACCATTCTTACAATCATTCTATCCCGATACGCCACTAAATACGCCACATTGACTAATGACTGAACACCCCTTGGGTCACGGGTGAAACTTTTAGGCAGCTTTGAATTCAACACACTCGACTTACTATTTGTTTTTGGTCTTTCCATGTTTTGAAAGATATAATAATAAAAATATATTAAACAGTTCTTAATGATATCAACATCTAATAGTAATAGCATGATTTTCAAAAGTAACAGTCTTAACTACAATTTTAGTCCTTATGCTATGTCAAAAATTGAGATTTAATTCCCTATTTTAATTTGGCATAATCTAGTGTCTTTATTTTTTAGTGTGTATACTGTTATTAGTAGGACTAAATTGATAAATTATTTTTTAATAAAATAATAAGATATTTTCCAATGGAGTATTATTTAATCACTAGAGTTTAATCAAAATTTAACCAATTATATTCAACCAATAAAAATACATGAAAGGTTCTTCCTAATGTCAACACCTAATCACAGAAGTTTCAAAAAGTAATCAATCTAATTACGGATTTGATCCTTCTGCAATGTCGGAACTGAAATAATTTCAGCTCTTACTTTTATAGTATTATCAATAGGTTTAAGAAGATAACAACATTGGTCCCTATCATTACTATGTGGAAGTTTGCTTTTATTGTTACTCGATCACTCAAATCAAGTGACAATTCAATTAATCTAATTCAATCGATAATAAATTTATATATTAGTTGAATACTTAGAGGCTAATTTCGGTAAAATCCACGTCTATCACTTTAATGACATTAACTAATAGTGTTTCCATTTTGAACTTTCTAATAAAATTATAAAAATGGAGGAGTCTAATCTCAAATTTTAGTAAAATAAATGGACTAAAACCAAATTACGCCAAATATGATCTAACCACTGACCTTTCGCCGGCACAAACACGAGCCCACTCCCATCAGTGAAATCAAACCCCGGATTATAGCTTCGTATCAGCTCCGCCGATACGTTTACTTCTGCCGCAATGACCGACAAATCCTCACCTGGCCTGATAGGGTATGTCGAGAATAACCCGTAATCTCTCGAAACACGCCGATCACCGCACGAACAATTCACGGTAACATTGATGGTCACATGATCGGGTATCCTCGTATCATCATAAACGTTCACCCTTCGCACCCAATCCTCCGTAGTCAAGTTAGCAAAAGCGTTGCTAGCGATTTTGTCGTACGTATCGCCGAACTGCGTGAAGTAACCGAAAGTGTGGCCCAAAAAATCACCGTTCAAGCAGTCGCAGGAAAAGGGTACGTAGATTCGGGTCCCGGTATCAATTTCGTCAGGGTTCGAAACGTGCGGGTTGTAAAGAAGGATTTCGGGGATTTGCTCGTTAAAGATGGTGCTGATGTACGATAGGTTCGAGCCTTGCCATACGTAATACGAAGCGAAGGCCAGGCTGCAACCGGTTTTGCAGCTCGCTTCGACTTGGACGAATAAACAATGGACAAGAACAAGAAAAACGAGTAAAATGATCATTTTTTTGATCCAAGACTGAGCTTCGAAGTTTGAATTTCAGTCTTGAAAACTCCCAGTCGAATTATTTTACCCTTGCCATGGTCGTATCAGTTTGGGTTTTGGGAGATGATTGATGGGGGGTGGGCAAAATGACAAGAGAGGGTAATGCAATTTGGTGGTATTGTTGTGTTTGGTATAATGTGCTATATAGGTGTATTGACAGCTTCGTTTCTTTGTTTGGTCTTGAATGTCCGACAAGGAATTTAGTATGCTGAGTTTTGTCTTGTTTCTTCGCCCATGATTCTCTTCTTAGACTAAAACAAAGTATGCATAGACCCGGTCAAAGAAGCAGCCTCCATTCTATTTTACCCCAAGTCTAATTGATAACACTTCTTTCTAATGCAATGGAACTAAATTTGAAAGGTTGTGAAACTACAGGGACTCAGGACATAATTAGACCAACATATTTCTTCTGTTAACCCGTCAATTTCCTTGAGGAGAACTACAACCCTGAAGCTTACAAAGACTTGAGCTTGATGAGGGAATCAAGGCAAAAAGGTCTAGTTATGTAGATTTATCAATGTTCAATCTCTGTTAAAATCTTGTGGGATTCAAAGCCTTGGAACCGCGAGGGCAACAAAAAAAATCTTGAGGATTTGTGTTCATCCAAAGAAGATAATTCCGATGTATGATTTCACAACATAGCTCAAAGGAAACCGGACAAGAAACTGAAAAGAAACCGGAATGTGACTGGACTTCCGGCTTGAGCTCGCCGGTTCCTCTTTGGGTAGATATCATACCCCATGAAGAAATGTAGTGGTTTACCACTGGAGCATCCTACCTCATTGTACCCAAAAAAATATAGTATATAACAAGAGTATATTAAAAAGAAGAAATATATTGAAGCATTATTGAATGTTAAGAACAGTTTCTTGGATGTGTGATTTCTTTGATCAACCATTCCCTAGTAACGTTTACAGCTGGTGGCGTTTTTGCGTTTTCCATGGAAGCGGAGATTGCATTATATGGCAAATACACAGGCAGCAACATCAAGTACCTTAATTTGAATCTCGAGAAATCAGAAGCGTATAAACAAGTTTGTAAGCCGTAAAACATACTCAAATCGTCTTCCCTCGGTCACAGGTCATCCTAAGTTGTTCTTGGATTCATTTTCCGTTAATGGCTGAAACCATAGCAATAGCGAAATCAAGTAAGGCAAAGGGCAGACATCAAACTGTCAATGCAATGGTACGACATGGGAGCGTGCCAATAAGCAAATCTTTGACGAATCAATGATTATCGATGTAAAGCAAAAAGTCATTCTTGAATGCACTACTTAAATACCTGAGTGTACCGTTTCACGTCATCGGAAGTGTGGATATGTCCTTTAATGAAATACAACTGAGCATATTCATTGATATTCTCTGGCCTGCAGCAGTCATCGTATAATGTAAGTATGATGCTCAAAGGGATTCTAATAAAGCTATAACTTTTCTTATGAGGCTGGAAATCCATTTTAGGTTCAAATTAGACATAATTACATGAATAATTTGGTGTTCTGGTAAAGCTTGAGAACACAGCAAGGATTTCAAAAAGGTTTAAATGGCAAGTACACCTTATTTTACTTCTCCAGACATCAAAGAAGGAAGCAAGCACATCAAGACTAATTAATTTAGAAGTTTCTTTACTGAGTATAAACTTCTGTCAGTAAATAAACTATAAAAGTTGGTTTTTAGTTGGGACAGAAAAATTACCTATAGACATAGTTCACCATGATACCTGCACTTTGGCTCAAGGCTTTTTCTGATCTGTCGGCCATCCAGTTTATTCTTTGAACCATCTGTTCCATATTTGAAGCGATTAAATGTGGAAACCAGCACTTAAGCAATAGGAAGTGAATGTGCAACCGAGAGAGAGGAGTGTGCATCTTCAAGAACATTTTCTCCCGGTTACACTATTCTTGATGAAGGACTGGTTTAGACGTGTAGAGGAAAATCTATAAACTAATCAATATGTTTTGTCAATCGGACTTCGTTGGTTTATGACTGCAATCTCATTACGTACCGCTCCATTCTGCAAATGGAAGTTTGCGACAGAATCTAGAGCTTTTCCTCTCTTCTTCTCTTGCAGAAGGTACCTACATTTGAAGAATCAGCATTAATTGATTTTACCCAAAGAAACACGAGCTCCGTATGTCAGGTACAGAACCAATTAATCTGACGCAAGAATAAAAGAAATTAAAGATAAAGCTATTTGGTCAAAAAAAGAGAAATTTCAAATGGAGTAACATACCTCGCACATAGTCGCATTAGAGGCCATTTTAATGCAGAAAGCAATTTATCTGAATTAATCCACTCATGAGTTGTCGGTGTTAGCACGTTCAACAGTATTTCCATGCCACCTTTTCCAGCAGCAAGATCCCTGCAACAGATAATGGCGATATGGCAATATGCAGACTCCGTAAATCACATTTCAGGAGCACAATAAGGGTTGGAGAATACAGAATAATGATGACAGCCGTGACTTAGCTAAATCCCCCCATAAGTGTTTCCAAAAGTTGATCTTCCCCTCTACTTGAGTGTAGAGCTTTAACAAATAATCTGAGTGTTAAACTATTTCTATTTAATTGGAAAAGCAATCAATCAAGATCGTTTTTATAACTAGATGTGCTTCATTGTCACTCCATTAAGCTTTAAGAATAACACTACTCACAAACTGGGAAATCAATATGCATTACACGCCAATGTTCTAGAAACCATTCATCTTCACAAAATCCAGAAATTCCATTGAGCACACGCAAGCACACAAAATGGAGCTTACCCCAATGAGTCTATTAGTGCCCTTTCTTCTTCTGGTTCAAGTACATTCTCATAAAAATGTAATCCAGATTTATCAGACGATGAGCATAATATGTCCTCTGCTTCAGCAAGTCTTGATTGAGAAGCCAACTTGGATTGAAGCCAAGGCATGAATCCCGGGATAGGGCTAAGCGTAGCAAACACCTTAAGTGGAAAAGAAGTGTCAGTAAGCATCATCCCAAGCAAAACTTAAGCTGTGCAACTCTGCACAGATATCAAGGACTATGTAAGAAAACCGGTCGAGGGAACCTCCTGTACAATGCCAAGTATATTATTGAAAATCTGTTTAAATATTTACTGAGTTGTGCAGGAGAACTAACAAAGACCAAACACCGACTCAAAACACAGATAGCAGAGAGTGCAACATAACCACATTTTCAGAAATTAAAATCATTAAGGCCTGATATCATTAGAGGAGCAATTACCATCAAGCATAAAACAGGAAAAAGTAAACTTATATTATAACTGAACATGCAAAAATAATCTTGTAGCTAGTTTGATTACGAAATCAGATCAGAGAAAAGGAAGACTTACAGAAACATGTGGCATATCTCTTTTAACCAACGTAATAACACGTTTAATAAGAAACTTTCCTAGGTTGATTCCTGCCAAGCCAGGCTGGGAAAGTTGGAAAAAAGCGGTCAGGTTCAAGGAAACGTAATCAGGAGCGTGTGAAAAGCCCATTAGCACAAGAAACTACACTATTTGCATAGACCATGTAAACAGCTGCTAAGATATCTTTCTTCATACTATAGTTAATATCTTTTACAAATAAGGGGGTGGGGGGAAGAACATTATACCTGAGTTGATGATATTGAGTAAAATAATGCGCATGCTGCTTCACTTTCAGCAATTGGAGGATTATCCCACAGAACTTCCTATCATTCACAGAAATATTACCAACAAGAAGATGATTGAAGGAGTATGGTACAGTTAAAAGAAAGTTCACCTGTATTGCCTCTGCTATGTTCTTCAAAAGTGCTACTTCAATAAAAATAAGAGGTTCACCTGAAATACAAAATGCCTAGATAGAGAGAGAGAGACGGCGACCAACGAGAACAGGTGGAATTGCAGGCACTACAGTACTTAACACCCTGAGTACCCCCCTAAACAGTGAAAGGAACTACTTACAAGGTATGGCTGAATGAAAATATGCAAAACAACGACGACCAACTCCTAGTCTTCTCTTAAGATCAATAAGATTACTGATTGGATGCACTGCCTGGCCAAAATTTGATCACTAAACAATACAAGGCTGCACAATACAAAATATAGAATACAAGCAAGCAAGAGGGAGAATAAAAAAAAACCTCATAAGCTACAATTTTCTCCAGCAAAGAAGCAGGATCATCCCACGTAATCTGATGAAGCTCTAAAGCAGCAGGAGAAAGCCAAGTGCTAAGCTTGTCCTTCAGATTGGAATCCATTGCTTGCAGTGAGGCCATATTTCCTTCTCTGAAAAAAAAAATCAGTTGCATTTGAAGTAATCATATTTCAATTTTTTAGAGAAATGAATGTATACTAGGTTCTAGATCTGCAACAGGCCAGCAACAATACCTAAGAATTTTTTTAACAATTCAGCTCTTATACTTTTTCAGTTTTTCAGCATTTCGATGTAATACCTAAATTCTACTTTATGAAAGAAACTACCAATGCCCAAAAGATTGATTAGGATGCAAGATAATACACAAGTGATTGATAATCATGCACGATAATCCAAAGCCCTTACGAAGTTCCTTACAACCATAGCATGTTTTTTTTTTTACGACTTTGAATGATAAACTAGAAGTGAAAAACTGAAGGAGTTTCTGACATTCTCCGACACACTTTTCAGTTAAATAAAACAAAAAGGACAATAACCTTACACGAGAATGGATAATATATCAGTCCGGAGGATGGTCAAAAACTTCAGCCCTTCAGGGTGCGTGTTAATTCTCTCGAATAGAGTTTCATACACTGGCTTAAGGGAATGTTTCATATTTCTCTCTATGCGATAGAAAGTCGAAAGAGAGCATTCATCTTCAACTACTCCTGATTGAGCTTCATTCCCTGAAACAATTAACCTCCGCACCATTCAACCTCACTAAACACGAAGGCAATATTCCACAAAAAGGTTAAATACCAACAGTAAGCTCATCACCAGGTGGTTGAAGTCCAAGATACTGTTTTATGAGCTCACGAACTTGTGTCCTGTTGAGATCATACTCTTTGGCAAGTGTGATCAATAATTTCCGCCGGTTCTCGAAAGAAAGGCTGAAATAACCCTGCAGTATATCATAATTCACAGCATGAACAAGCACAGCCATACACAATGAGAACGCTAGATAATTAGTAATTGCTTGTTAGTTGTTAGCAATAACTTACCTCCGAAAAATCATTAAGTACAGAATCTAGAACTTCAGTTTTATGCATCAACATCACAGAGTGCATCAATTGTCGTACAGCCTCGAAAGATCTAGTTAAAAAAAAAAAGTTTCCAGATTTCAAATTCAAGAATGTACATATGATCCATGTTGCTCGGACTCTTTATTTTTCTTAAAATACCCGTGTCAGATACAAGTATCAGACAAATCAATATAGGATACAACCTCCAAGAATCTTCCAATTATACTCACAACCAAGTTCGAGTAACATAAATTGTATAACATGAATACTTTACAACAAATAACAGACCGGTGGAGGTCTCTCACTGGTTCGAAGCGGATCTTAGGGGTGTCATGTTCCCCAGAGGCTTTAATATGTAATAGTTTTTTTCTCCTTCCCTTTGTAACCCATAATAATAATAATAACAGACCTTTGATTGTTGAGATTTTCATTTCCATGTCCGTCTGAGCCGGATCGGTTTCCTTGAGAATTCGGTAGCAGTTGATTCACCTCGTTCTGGGGTAAAATTAAATTCAAACTAATTAATAACAGCTTCGTTACATCGGTGATTAATCGAACAATTCGCTTAACAGAATAAGATGAATCAAACGTAATTTTGGACAAAATTCACGTTGTGATAACTTTAAAAAGAAGAAAAGAAAAACTTACAGAGATGGGCAGAAGGGCGAAATTAGTGTGATGATTAGGTCTCATTCTGGCTCGCATCAAAATGACCAATGTTTTCTTGTTCATTTTTCTATCATAAAGAATTCAATAAATAACCCGACAAAGACCAAATCATAAACGCTTTATTCTCTTGTTAGTTGTTCAAACTTCAAACATTGCTTTCCTCGAGCTGACGATGACTCAACCGCTTCAGAAACACCGAGCGACGCTGTGAACAGTAAGGAAACATACAGGAATGCACAAAAATGGCAGCGTTGTGGAATCGTAAGGACTGAAATAGCAATAACGAAACAAATTTGATCCACGGAAAGAGAAGAATGACGACGATAAACAAATAGTTAAAATACAATTTAAATCCTTCACTCTTCATATAATTGAAATTTGTCTCACTACTTCTGTTTTTAGGAATTTTATCTTTTTACTTTTTTAATTTACAAATGGGTTAACTACATGATTGATCAATTATGCTTGTGTTTTGTCCACTTATAATCACTAATTTCAAAAAAACATAAGACATGGTCAATTTCGTTTTTATTTAATTAAGACATGGTCACCCGAATTAACTACGGTTAACAGCAGTTAAATATTTTGATATAATCATACATTTGGTCATATTATTTATATATTCTCTTAATTAAGTCATACTTTTAATAAATTAAAATAAATATAATCCTCCAATAAAATGATGCCACATGTCACCATTCGATAGGAGGACTAATTTTATTTTAATTTAATATATTTATTTTCTTCAATCAAAGAGTGACATATGTCACCCTCAAGTTGAAAGAAAACAAAGGGAAACAAATGGGGGCAAAAAAGTATTAAAACCTTGGTCACTTAGAAAACTAAACATATATCTAACCATTAAGTCAAGACATTGCTTGGTCTAAAGTAGATAACATGTTATTTATATTTTGTATCTTAGTATATAAATACTTAAATTCATAATATTATATATATATGTTAACTTAAAAAATATTTTTATATTAACATATTAAATAAATTTTATTATTAACTTAATTTAAAAAATTATTTTTATTTTCATTTAAAAATATATATTTTATGTTAAAATTTATTTAAAAGTATGATAAAAATGAGAGAATATATAAATAAAGAACCAAATGTGTGATTATGTAACACCCATAACCCGTATATATTTCGAAATACGAGCTAAAGATGTTTCATCAACTTAACAGACATTTGCTTAACGTAAATGCTTAATTTTTTTTTCTTTTTAAACATTTCCTATTTCAACTTTAAAACTTTCTTCTTAATCGTATAAAATCATTAACTAATATTTAATCATTGCAAACGAATCTGGTTTCAAACAACGATTAGGTAGTTTTGTACTATTCATAAACTATGCAAAATTGTCTAAACACTGCTTGATTTTAAAACTCATTTATAATCTTAGTATTATATGTGAAATTTTTAATCATAAATATGAACATAAATAAACTACCCAAGATAAAATGTCCTAGTTTACTATTCCATACCTTTTTAAAATAAATTCAATAAAGTAACCCAATAATTATAATGTACATGTCACTAATAAGTCAAAGATATGATATATTATTGATACTGTCAGTAGGTTTGATTTCCAAAAGATGCTCGAAAATCTCCTCACTTCACATTTTTTTTCTTTATTCGAACCTACACATGAAAATCATTACGCGCTAAGTAAAACTTAGTGAGGCAACAACATAACTAAAAATGATATAAAATATAAATTTCGTAAAGTATTATAGTATGAAACTGTAATTTAAATAAAAACATTAAAACTTTTAAACTGAGTTGTTCAAGTTGATTTCTCATTGAAACCCGAAAATCATCCTATCATGATTTCATAAAAAAACATGTAATTCAATATCAAATATCATAAACAATTCATTTTCCTATCATTCGTACATATTTCAGAACTTGTCTTTTTATTCACATATTCTATTTTTTTATGTATTTTGTCATAACTTTCACATTTATATGTATAGCCTAATGTATATGTAAGAGAATACAAGGTCTATGAATAGAACATAAGGTGTGCACTAGGCACTTCAGTGCTAATCATAACTGATACTGAAACATATGATGCACTTCAGTGCAATCATAGCATGAGCACTAACGGTGTAAATAACTGAAAATTGATAACTGATAAGTACTCAACTTAATGGCATGCCAAATGTATATACATCTCTTAATGTAACATACAATGAGTTTTTAGATTATACCTTATTCTTTCATAATCAATATTTCATCTCAGAATCAATTTCTAATCATTATCATAAAAAATCATAACTTGGATAGTTTGTACCCTAACATTCATAAGACATATAAACATTATGAAAATAACATGTACTTAAGATAGAAAACACACTTTAAATAATATAAGGTTGCCTTATCATAAGTCATCCTCAATCAAAATAATTAAATAAATAAATAATTTGAATTTACTTTGACAATTTATTAATAAATCAAAATATAAGTTTCACTGAGCATTAGAATTAATCTTTTGTTTTCAAATTCTTCTACTACTCAATTTATCAAAATTTCATATTCAGGCAGTTTACACTACCTTCAAAGAAATATTATTCTGTATTAATATACATACTTAAAAATTATTCCGTTAGTATCACTGAAAACTAGACTCGAATACAAATCTAACCATATAAGTAACTTCTTCTAGTTCAACTTGTACGATTAATAGCAAATTTTCAAATTTGGTTGACAGAAGCTGTTTTGAGCAGAATCTGCTATCTTTATTTCTGGCCTATCATCAATTAAAAATTCATATCTTTTATATACATCTCAAAATCAGTATATATTTGTTCTAAACAAAACTATACTAATATAGGAATCCAATGGTATAAAATTCATCCTCTAATTATTTCTATGTAATTTATGATGAATTTCTAAACCTACTGTTCGAATCACAATTTCTAAACAAGTTTACCTAATTAGCATCCTTAACTAAATTCCATAATTCTATAAGCTTATTAAATGAACCTAGAGTCTAGAATCACAATTCAAAAATCATTAGGAGTCACTTCTTACCATATTAGCTCCGTCACTGGCTCATTGTAAGCCAATATTTGTGTGATGACATGAATAAAAATTAATGCACTCACCTGTTGTCTTTAGCTTGCAATCTCCCCTTACAATTTCACACTCCATCTTTAAGCTTTGCCTTAGCTTTAATATTGCTTGATCTTGATTTCAAGCACCCAATCTAATGAGCATCATTACAAACATATTCAAAATTCAAACCACATGTTAAAATCTTACTAACATAGGCACACAATAGACAATAATTTCCTAAAAATTCTTTTGATACTAATTTCATGTCAACATAATTGTTGACCATAACACTTCAAATTGACTATTCAAGTCCCTTTTTAATCCAAATTTCACATAACATTTTCAACTAAGTTCCCAACTTTTCCATTTTTGTGATTTAAGCCTCAACTTTTACCAACTTACCAAAATAATACAACTTCACATTCTAACATCAATTTCAACACTCAAACATTAATTTCTAGCATAGTTCATCAACTATTGCACATTTGCACGTTAACCCATAACTTTTCCATAATCATCGATTAGGTCCCCTAACTTTCCAAAAATTACAAAATGGTCCCCATATTTTTCGGAGGATTGTAAAATACTTCCTACATTATTTCCAGCCCCTATAAAAATTTTCCAAATTTTTTCTCACCCTCCATAGCCTAGGTCGAATACTTTGAAAATTCAAGACTATGTTTTTCATGATTTTACTCGATTTTGATCCGATTCAAGCATGAAATAAACCTCTATTCTACCTTATAAAATCTATACAATCAAAGCCCTAATCAAATTTCATCATAACATAAACTTCCTTAAATTAGGGTTTAGGCCGAAACATCATAGAAGCATTTTTAAGAAGTTTTGATCATCATACAAGCTTGGAAGCGATTCTACGACTTCAAAAACATCAAAATTCATCTTCAATTCCATAAAATCTAATATGAACATAAACCATAGAATTTGGGATCTCTGAACACAAGCAAGATTAACATGCATAAATGGTGTCAAATGATAGCTCTTTTCGAATAGAATAATTTTCTATTTCACGGCTCGATCCAAAATCCAAAGGAAATTACTCAAAAAGGAAAAATAAAATTTCTCTTACCTTAGGACATGAAGGCCACGAAATGGAGTTGAAATTGGCTTGGTCTCATGAAATTTATCCTTAATTTCATTTAAATTTATCATGTATTTAAGCTTAAATGAATTTTATATTCATTTAATGAGAAATGTCCATTTTACCATTAATGAAACTTGATATTTACCTTCATAACAAGTGTTGGAATTTTCGATGAAGCTCAATTCAACAACCGAATGAATTGCCAAAAGGGGGTGAAATTGTTTTGAGAGTTTAGGGAGTAAGGAGTATAAAAAGATAGACAATTAGCATAATGATTTATAGTGGTTCGACTTCTCAACCAAATCTACATCCACTACCTTAGCTCCTCACTAAGGATTTTCTAACAAATTTACTAATTTGTTCTTTCTTTTTACAGGATAAAGAGATAACCTTTACAAACTCCCTAGATTTTAAAAGGCTTAGCTAGAACCACTCCCCTTTTCACAAAGGATAAGAAATGTAAAAAAAAGAAAACTCTTACAAGGTAGGTGTTTACAAAATTAAGCTCGCGAGAACAAAAATATTTACAAGAGAAAGGAAAATAAGAATGAAAAACTCTTCTCTTGTGTTTGTTTGCTTGGATAGGTGTTCTAACCCTTTTTCAAGTGTCCTCAACTTGTTTTATAGGTTGAAATGTGTTTGTGGTCGTTTCTAGTTGTTGGAGATGTTTTAGAGCCATTGGGGATAATTTTTCTACAAAATAAACTGCCATGGACAGGGTACTTCCTTTATAATATTTAAATAAACTACCCGTTACTAGCTGTTGGGCCTGACCAGTATCAATACATGCTCATGATATCGATACTACTGTGTAAAGTAGTATCGATACTTCTTTGAGTATTGATATCTATTTTGCATTATGGAATTTGAGCAATTTGGAAAACAACTGGTAGTATCGATACTACCTTGAGAGTATCAATACTTCTCTTACCTTTGGTATCGGTACCACATGAATAGTATTGATAATGTTCATGCAATATCGATACTGTAAGAACAGTATCGCAACTACGTATCCTGAAAATCAATTTTGTGCTCAAATTCTATTTTAATGGACTTTGAATTAT